CCAAGCTGGCCACATATACCAGCCAAGAGCGACGACTTCCCGGGCCGCCGATTGCAGGACCCTCCTTCCATGGATGGTCATCAGGAAGTCGACCGCGTCATCACGCATCGCAAGCACGACAACAAGCCAATGCAGTACAAAGTCACATTCAAGTGGTGTGACCGTGACGACACGCGATGGATTTCCCGGGCAGCTTTGCAAGCCTCCGCACCAGATATCTACGCTGGTTATGAGAAAAAACGGCTAGCCACGGAAGCTGCACAGCCTCCCACCCGGACTTCAGTCCCTCCCTCCAACAGGCAGCTTCGCCCTCGCAGGTAAGCTCGGTCTTTCAAGGAGGGGGGGGGGTGGCATACTCAGTACCACACGGGCCCAGCAGGGCCCGACCAAGTAGACTAGGGGTCCGTAGGTGTAGGGTCTGTGTCGTTTCGACCCTCAGCAGGGTCCACAGGTAGGCCGAGTTTAGGCCGAGTAGGACCGGTACCAGTTTAGAGGGCCGGTAGGCCTCGTCTTGGGGTACAGGCCCTGGCGCGCGTTTTGGCGCCAAGGCCCTGACTTTGAGGCCGCACTGTTTCGGTAGGCACTGGAGCAGCCTCAGTTTGGGCGCCAAACTTTGAGGCCCAGCCTCAGTTTGGGCACCAAACTTTGAGGCCAGCCTCAGTTTGAGCGCCAGGACTCAGCGACTGAGGCTGACCCAGCGCTACATATAGCTGGGTCCGGCCTCACCTCCGCATTCTTGAGCAGAGGATCGAGGAGGCATACTTCGGACGACCGTAGCGCAGCAGTAGTCGACGATAGGACTAGTCTCCAGCGCTGGGCGCTGATAGAGTAGAGCAGCGCAGGGAGAGAGAGATGGTGATGGTGGCCTGAGGACTTACCTGAGACTTACCTGGGTAGCCATTGGCCCAGCTTCGTCTTAAGCACGTCCGCACCTGCATCAAGGCACCACCTTTCGCAGGTCAGTACCGGGTATAGAGAGAGAGAGAGAGAGGGATCTTCTTCTTCCTCCTCCAGTCCACCACCACCTTCTTCCCCTAACAGCGCTCTGACTTCTTCGGGTATGAGAGAGAGAGAGAGAGAGAGAGAGAGAGAGAGAGAGAGAGAGAGAGAGAGAGAGAGAGAGAGAGAGAGATTGACTATACTCGGGATTGGGACTCGGCATTGGGCAGAGACATTGGGGGGACTGTTGGGATTGATATCAGCGACATTTGGGTTGACAACATTCTCATCTCTTCCCCCTTCTCCTTCGTCTCTTCCCCGTCCTCCTCATCTGTGTATGAGTTAGGCCTGGCACCTTCGTCCTGGAGTGTAGTGCCAGGCCATTCACACCGTGTGATGATGATGATGTATGTCCAGTCTGCATTTCGACATTGATTGGGTCTGATCATTGGTATTCTAGCCTTCTGCTGTGCTATCCTGTTCTATCTGTGAGAGGTCGGTTCTTGGTTGTCGCATCTTGGTATGTGACAAGGTGGAGGGTAAAGGGCAGAGGAGAAATATGTGATGACATGCAAAGAGCGGGGAAGATGTGTATGACGAACTTTGCAGTATTCTAAACACTCACCGCTCAAACAGACTACTCTAGAATGGCACATGAGGTCAGTTAGTGTTTGGGCTGCATAAGTTTTTGAGTTGAGGAGCAGCTATTGCCTATGGTAAGTGGCCACCCTACGGACTGGACAGGACCGGTTTGGGTGTGGACTATGGAAGCACCGCATCCAATTTTCGCAGTCACAGCTGCTGCATCGAATGGCGCGGCGCAGACAGATGTCACAGGCTACGTGGCTCCTACATGCTAGGAACACAGAGGGGCATGCCGGCCGCAGTTATAGAGGCGTTGTCGTTCCAGCCTGTCCACAAATCGGAAATGACATGTCAGGGTGCCGTACACGAGTACAGTACTGCCCGTCGTCGTACATATGAAAGCAAAAACTCGCATGTAATCCTCACGGCACAAGGCATGCGAACCACATGCTAGTTGAATCTCTGGCGAGTCGTCACAAAGCGGCATGGAGCATCTTTCTTGGGTTTCCTCAGTATTTATTCCTTCTCTATGGGGCAGACGACAACCGGGAGGATCGGTCCAAAGCAAGTGTGTTCAGCTGTGTGTGTGTGTGTGTGTGTGTGTGTGTGTGTGTGTGTGTGTGTGTGTGTGTGTGTGTGTGTGTGTTCCCACACAAACACAATGGGCGAGGAATGTGCCCAGACTTCAGTGGTGACTTGCTTGCAGTTCTACATCTCAGACAGCAAAAAAATGTGTGCATTTCCACGTGGAGCAAAGTCGGAGAGCAGAGTCGGAAGAGAAAAGTATAACAGCATCACATTTGAGAGGCGCTCTGAGAATACCCAAAAGAAAGTGAAAGTATGGAAAAAAGGGAATGAAATAGGACCATAGTCGAGGAAGGCATAGTGTCGGTTTTATTTGTAACCGACGCTGATCCCGGTTTTCAGGTAGTAATGAAGAATGCTGCCTTGTTCAAGGTAAAAAAGGGAAAACAAAGGGGAGGACCTACACTGTAGCTGCAAACAATTGCAACTGTTCTCAGGGCATGTAAAGCAGAGGGGGCATCCTAGGAGGAAGGGTGAATGTGTTGTTGAGGGCTTAAGTGTTTAGGGTTCAACCCTGCACCCTTGGAATATATGTCTTTGCATGTGCTTCTTTGCCACTTTGCACTGTGACCATCCTTTGTGAGATCTAACGCCTTGTGCATTCTGCGTGGTTATCTCATAAACTGTGAACCCCTTCAGAAAACAACGGGAAATTTGTACGATGGCCCTAAAAGATGCCGTGTTACGTCGAATGCCCCCGAAGCACGGGGTATTCAGTGAGGGGCGCACCGCATCACTGTCAAAACCGTGATGTTCGATAGATTCCCTTTGCCACACAGCCTGTCGAAATTGGAGACGGGGAAAAGATTTGCAAGTTGCCAGAGAAACTTTCTCGACACCTACTTTCAAAAGTGGTTGCATCCGCAGTGCTACTCCGATGCTTTCAACAGTCCTCTGCTGTGCTATTGATCTCTCCTTGGAATCTGGTGAGTGGGCCTGAGGTGGGGACGGACGAATGTTTGTCCTGCCCTCAGACGTGTTCGTCTCTTTTCGCCTTGCATTCACAAGTTCGTGCATGCGACAGTGCTGTGTAGCTAAAGGATGGGGGGGAACTGTCGAAGAGCCGGCTGTTGAATTTCTTCTGACAGCCTTTGAATTTTTGAGCCTGTTGACAGTGGTGTGGCGAGCCCCTGAATGCCCTCCTGACAGTGGTCAAATTTCCTGAATGCCCTTCTGACAGTGGTCAAATTTGCCACATGTGCATCACATAGTTTGTACCTGGCATGTTGTCCTTATACCCCTCCTGGGTGGCGATTCAATTTTGATTGATGCCCGGGCACTTGCGGTCATCAGTCACCTGGGGGCATCTGGAAAAGTTGAGCCGGCGCATGTTAGGGGCATAAAGAAATAGGGTGGGTGCTTGGTCCAGTTGATGCAACGGGCGTTCGGGTCCAATTGACCACTGCCAGAAGGCCGCTCACCAAATACCCTATCTTTGAGGGGCATCCGACGGAACCTTGCATCTGTGAGGGGCATCCTGACAAATGCTCCCTTTGATGACTAGATAGATAATGAGCGGAAAGTAGAATGGAGAATTGCATGCCCATTTGGGGGCTTGGTGGAAGATCAGTTTGATTGTCCTAATTCGTCCATGGAAAAAACTGCCGACCCCAGAGAACTGCAACTGGAATTTTTTGGAGTTTTGTAACTCTTGCGAGGAATAAGCCCTCGCAGGGCCCTTATCAGATATGCACATGTTCTGGGCAGTGGCCCTCAGCAAGCCCTGTGCCCGCCCCTAAGTGAAATACTAGAGGGCCAGTAGAGGCCAAAATTCGACATTTCGCCATATGTGAGTACTCAGGCTGTTGCAGCACGCCAGTTGGTTGAATGGAAGTGTGAGCCTCCCTAAGCTGCGTCGTATGGTTTGGCCCAGGCACTGGTAGTTGCGCCTGGGCACATACATCACAAAGTGGCTACGGGCCTACGCAAAAGCAGAGGATTGTCGACGTACATACCCCGGCTCCTGTGCAGATACCGCAAACTAACAAAGTGTGGAAATGCGGGGTGTGCCCAACTGTACGAGGACCAGGCCCGCAACTGCAAGGCTGGGTCTGGGCGCAGGCACCAGGGCCAGACCGAAAGCTACTGGGTGCTTCTTGGCCAGGCCCTCAGAGGGCCAACCAGGGGCTGCCACTTCCCTATAGGAAGAGAGGCAGCCAGGGTCGGGAAGTCTGGCCCACGCAGGCATTGCGGTCACGCTGCTGCGTTGCTGCACGAGATGCTGCATGCTGCGCTAGTGGCCAGGGCGCGTGCGGGCGCGTGTGAGGTGAAGAGGGGTGCTGCAGGGCAGCGGAGCGTTAGCAGCCATAGCCGGGCTGCAGGGCGCTAGGGGGTAAGAGGGCGATCGGTGGTCTTCAGGAAGGAGGCGAGTGTGGGTGGTCAGGGTCTGATGAGGGGAGACGAGACACGTACCTTGTACATGAGAGAGGAGCGACATTGGTGTTGACATCATGTACATTGGTCTTCAAGAGCCGAAGTGAGCCTGGTGTGTGAATGCTGATGTAGGTAGGATAGGCAAGTAGAGTAGACTGGACGCTGGGTGCCAGACAGAGAGGAGCGACGTTGGATACTGGTCAGTGTGCCTGAGGGCTTGAACATTGCCTCATGACTTCTTTGTATTTATCTTTATTTGGATGAAATCTTGGTGCATTTGTGCTCTCTGCTTGTACACGACTACTTGGGCATCTGTGTGGTTTCGCAACTTGGTTTTCTGTATATCGTCCCCACTCGTAAGAAATTTCAAATTTCAGAATTGTAGAGTTTAATTGACAACAATGTCACAAACCATTTTGAAAGAACGGAAACTTTGCTGGATGATGACTCTGTGTGTGTGTGTGATGACTGTGTTTAAAGTTTAAAAACTTATGGGGCTGTTGTTTCTTCTTACGCAGGTCTTCCGTCGCGATGAGGAAGATCGCTGGAGACTGCGTACTCTAACGTTTATACCAAAAGGCATGTTTGTGTGCGAGTTTGCCGGGGAGGTAATCACTTGTGCGGAAAACGTAGATCGTGCGAAGAAGTACAAATCGGCTGGAGTTGAGCATCGTTACATGTCACTGGATGCTGGGTGGCTAGAACATCGGAGCGACATGCACAATGATAACTGCTTCGCGATTGACGCAACTCAGTATGGAAACGTTGGGCGCTTCGTGAACCATCGGTAAGTGATTCCCACTGACATCAGGGACCCCACTGGAGCTGCACAGGTGGACTGGATGACAAGGTAAGCGGTTGTTGCAACTTGCTAGCCTATTTATAAACTTGACACAGAACGTTGAAGTCCATCTTTCAACGTAGACACACACACACGCACACAACCTCCGGATGAGTCGGTGAAAGTTTGATGAACCGGTCCGACACAATCATGGCCTTTTTTTTGTGGAGTTGTGTGCAGTGAACATGACAGCGCACATACAGACTTATGAATCAGACGGGCATTTTCTGATACCGCACTTGTTTTCTCTGAAGCATATTGCGAACGAGGGACAACAACATGTTGCATCGTGTTTGTTACTCTCTGCAGCTGTTCCACTTACTTCTCAGTTTCCCCCCCTACGAGTGGTGAAGGCAGATTCATGCACGCCTGGTGCGAGTCAGAAAGGGGCTGTGGGAAGTTGGGAAAGATTGGGAAAGGTCTTTGGGAAGTTTGCGACATGGAAGAGGGGAGGGGAGGGGAGGGGAGGGGAACTCGCAAGTCGGAAAGGGGCTGTGGGAAGTTGGGAAAGATGAGGAAAGGTCTTTGGGAAACTCGGGACATGGAATACCAAAGTGGCACTTGATGACCTCTGAACCTCCTTTAGGCATCCTTTTTTTTTCATTTCTTTTCTTTTTAAAGAAAAAAGTTGAAAAAACAGAACCTTAAGGTTTTTGGCTCCTTGCTCCATTCTGGGGAGCATCAGCGCGGCTCCTATTGCACCAGCCAAGTCAGAAGCGATTACAATAGCAACCCATTATGGGTTAGACTCTAGACGCTTGAGTGGACGACATTGATTACTTCCCTAGGGAAGGATTTTACCACCCTCCCCCCCCCCTCCCCCTCCCCCCCCCCCCCCCCCCCACCTCCCCGTTGAGCCATAGCCATAGCCATAGCAAGCGCAGTCGGATGCCGCCATAAAACCTGTCCCCCCCCCCCCCGGGAACCCCTTTCCCCCCCCCCCCCCCCCCCCCCTCCCTCTCACCCCTGCCTACATTAGCCTACTTGACCTGCTTGCGCTATAGGATTCTAGGACCACCCAAATTTTCGCTGTATCTGTTTGCTGTTTGTAATCGATCTATGAGAATAGTGTCAGGCTTGCTCCTCTCAGCTACTTGGCTGTCGGGGATTTGCAAATGGTACTGGAGCTGTTGGCATGTGTGTATGTAGTGCTAATTTGTTAAAACACTGAACCCTACGGTCTTCACCCAATAGAACGCCCGGTAATTATCGCGGCCGTATCTGGACGGAAAGTTGGGCCAAATACAGCTATAATGACCGGGCGTTCTATTCGGGTGAAGACGGTAGTGGTCCTAGAATTGGAATTACCGGGCATTTAAACCAATGCTGTTCCTGAAGGGCCTCAACTTATTCCATCCTACCTGCCGTTTAATCCTATGCTATGGCAGAGTCCTATGTAAAATGCGTATACCTCAAACCCTAACTCCTATACTGGCCTTTCTTTCTTTATTTTGTGGAAGCTTCTCCTCTGGGGGGGTCTTGTTCTTGTAATTCCTCTTAGCAGGTTGTCAATCAGATGTAACCTTGAGTGGGGCAGTAGCAGTCGCGAGTTGGGCTTCCGTCTGTACCCTTTGTTAGACCCCTATACCATAGTGTCCTTTTCCTATTGGGGCCCCGGTCGTGCTTGTGTGAAGTGAGGACTGTGGATGAAGAAGTGTGGATGTTTGTGGCTATTTAGCCTCGCCTATTTAAGCGCGTGAAGAAGTGGTGATCTAGGTAGGATGTGTGTGGTGCGAAGTCGGTGATCAGTGGAAGTGTTCGCTGAGCTATAGAGACTTGACTATTGGAGAGGGAGATCGAGCTGGCTGGGTCCTATACGTTTAAGATTCTGGAACTTGGGGGGAAGAGAGGGGGGTTGTGTGGGAGGTGTGGCATACTGCGCAGCCACACGGGCCTGCAGGGCCCGACCAGTGTTTTCCAGCCTAAAAGCCTGAAAACAAGGGCCTACAGGCCCTGTGTCGTTTTCAGCCTGAAAGCCTGAAAACGAGGGCCTACAAGCCCTATGTCGTTTCAGCCTAAAACAGGGCCCTCCAGGCCCTGAGTCTTTTCAGCCTGAAACTGAGGGCCATTTTCAGGCCCTCGTAAGATCGACCTGCCCTGAAACTTAGGCACCAGACCAGGGTTTTGGCACAGGCCATTTTTGGCCTGTTTTCAAGACAACCCTTGTTTGAACTTCAACGCCAGGGTCTGGCACATTTTGGCATTGGCAAGAGCAGCCTCCTGGACGGGCCAGCACTATATAAGACTGGCCCGCCCTACAGGCTGCAGACAGTCACGAGGTAGTTCATAGGAACTTCCCAGGCACTTCACGTACAGGAGGCAGGAGGCAGTCTTCAGGATTCTGCAGCAGCACTCTGGAGGAGCGCTGCTGTAGTAGTAGTAGCGTTAGCAGTAGTCTTCAGCGCTGGGCGCTATCAGGAGCTAGGTTAGTAGTAGAGAGAGAGAGATGGTTGGCGGAGGCCAGGGAGACTTACCTGTGGCGCCATAGCTCCAGCTTCGTCTTCGATGTACCTGCAACAAGGCGCCACCTTCGCAGGTTAGTACCGGAATGAGAGAGAGAGAGAGAGTTCTTCTTCTTCCTCTTCTAAGTCCACCATCTCCTCCTCCCCCTCTCGCTACCTGACTTCTCAGTATCTGCAGACTACGAGAGAGAGAGAGAGAGAGAGAGAGAGAGAGAGAGAG